CTCTTCCAGTCCTCTGGCACCACACCAGAGCACCACGAGTGCTCGTACAGCCGTGCCAGGAGTCCCGCAATGACCGCAGCTAATTCCCTCAGCGCTCGGGGGTGGAGATCGTCCGGACCAGCTGACTTGAATACATGCAGTCCCTCCAGGAGTTCCCTGACTAGATCCTCCCTGACCCTTGGCCTGGGTGCGCCTCCCCTGGGGCCTGAGGGGGGCTCATTGGGGGTGCTGATCTGGTCCCTGCTCAGGAAAATGGAGGCAAAGAAGTTGTTAAATAGGTTAGCTTTGTCATCTGGTGTGACGACCAAATTTCCTAGCGTGTCTTGCAGGGGCCCCACGTTACCCGGTACCTTCTTTTTGCCCCCTATGTATTTAAAAAAGGACTTCTTTTGTTCTGACCTCAGTGGGAGCCAATCAGGCCACATACAGGCAAGGACCATAGTGTATTAAAGAAATTCTGATTTCAGAATTGGGTTATTTCAGATTTATACTGTATGCAGTTGAGAGACAAATGGGGCACAGGATTGAAAGCACTTGACATCTGGGCATAAACTAAACTATCAAAAATTGTGACCAGAAGACCTGTTGCAAGATGATTACATGAAGTTCTGAAGCACTTAAAGGTGGCTCCATGAGTTTTCTTGGTCAGGGCATAGGTCATAACACTATAACTGTGAGGAGGATGAATAAAGGAAGGAGGGGATCAAGTTGGAAAAGCGAATAAGACAGGCTTGGATCCTAGCTATGAAAGGCTGCTTCTCCCTGAAGATGTGAGTGCAGCTTTATCAGTGTATTTCTTTAAAGGATGACATTTATGAATAAATGTGATTTAAGTTATTTATCCTAATTGCTCACGTGCTTTCTGTTTTTCTGTTGTGCTTCCCCTTACAGCTGCCTTACTCATTGTCTCTGAAATTACAGACCGAGCCAACGACAGGATGCAGCAAGGGGTGAGTCCTCTGGGGTCTAGTTATATGATGATCTTTTCTGCAAGTTTGCTGTTGAGTATAACCTCATGGTAGTGGTCCAGGGCCTCAGGTCCTCTAGCCAAAGGCACGTGTTGCCTAGTGTTCTCCACAGCTAGGTTCAAGGAATTAAATTCTGTTCTTATTTATAATTATGTAAATATCAAGTACATTGTTTGACTTTAGCTCCTTGGAGAAGATGGTAAGTCACTGCAGAGTTCAGTTGAATGTCCTTGTCCTTTTTAGCCTTGGGGTTGCTAAAATTGTACACAGGAGGAATTAAGGGGTGGAATTCTGCCATTCTTGCTGCTACTGGGATATATTCAGGTATGAATACAGGCCTGATCCTGCTCCCAAAGATATCAGCATCCATGGTTTTGCACTCGGATAGGACCTTCACTATTGTATGATTTCATTGACTTCAGAGAAGTTATTCCTGATTACATGCCAATCCTCATATGTAAGTGAGATCATAATTGTCAATTATAGGAGCTTAGTTGGCATCTAAATCCATATTTAGGCACCTAAATGCATTCTGTGGTCTTCAGAAGTGCCAAACACCCTGCAGCTTCCACTGAGGTCAGTGTTAGAAACTGACCTCCTCTGGCATGAGATCAGAGCTACAGGACATTAGGGAGATGGTCTGCAAATAGGTCTTCTAGCAATTTGCTCACAAGAGCACAATCCTGTTTCCATTTAAGTCAATAGGCACTGTGCCATGGATGTTGGTAAGAAGCAGTTTGGAGTGCAGAATACAAAAAAGCACTTGGCTGGATTTTGATCTCACATATACTGGTTCTGTACTAATGGAACCAATTCCACTGGATATATTGGTAACTGGGAATTAGGAGTTCCTTGTGTCTTACACTAGTGTGATATAACAATCAGAGCTGCTGAGTCTCTCTCTATACCTTATTACAGACATCATTTTTTATCTTATATATTTCTATCTGGGTCTAGTTTCTATCTGCGGAACACAGGCACATGAATTATCCCAGAGTGCAAGATCCTTCAATAAAAAGCTCCACCCTCATTTAACTTTCATTTATCACCATGATTTAGCTATCATTTACCGTGGGATAAGGGCAAACATATGGACAGTTGCCACGTAACTACTGATGCTATGGAAATTCCCACCCCTGTTTATCTTGTAACTGGTTTATGTACCCATTCCCTTGATACATCTGCACAAGTCCTGTTGACTTGAGCTGAAGCATGAGGTGTAAAATTTAACCCAAAGTAAGCACCACACAGTTTTCCACAGTGTCTTGAAACATTGCCTTGGCAACCCCATCATAACTGAGCATAAATTATTAACAGTACTATTTGAAAATCTTCTTCTATTGAGGTCACTACACTGATCATTCAAATATAATAGCAATAATTAATATAAAAAACTAATAGATTTTAAGGCCAGAAGTGAGTATCGTGAAAATCTGTTGTGACCTTCTGCATTATGCAAGCCATAGAATTTTATTTAGCAATCCCTGCATTTCATCTAATAAGCAATGGCTGAACTGAAGCATTTCTTTTAGCAAGGCATTTAATCTTAATGTCAAGACTTAAACTCCTGAATGACTATTTTGCTTTGGCATTTCACCGGAGTAAGGGGAAAATCATACTAGAGAAGGTTCAGAATGGGCATGGTGGGAATGACCACCTTCCTACTGTTGACATTGAGCTGGTGTGTGACCAATTAGAAAAGTTAGACATAAGTCAGCAGGACCAGATGAACTTCATCCAAGAGTGTTGAAGGAGCTGGCCGAAGTCATTGCGGGACCTCTGGCAAAACTCTTCCAAAACTCATGGCATTCGGAGGAGGTTCCTGAAGACTGGAAGAGGGCCAATGTTGTGCTCATCTTCAAGAAGGAGAGGAGAGAGGACCTGGGCAATTATACGCCAATTAGCCTAACTTCTGTCTCAGGGAAAATCCTGGAAAAATTCATCAAGGAGTCTATGTATGATACACTTGCAGAAGGTAGGATTCTGAACAACAGCCAGCCTGGCTTCATTATGGGCAGGTCTTGTTTTACCAATCTCATCTCCTTCTATGGCCAGGTAACTAGCCACCTGGATAAGAGAGAGGAATTCAACATTGTATACTTAGACTTGCAAAAGGCCTTTGATCTGGTATCCCATGATGTTCTCATGGGAAAACTGGAGGATTGCGGGCTTAACTGCTTGACAGTTAGGTGGGTAGGAAGCTGGCTGTGGGGTAGGCCCCAGAGACTTCTAATGAAGTCCCCCAAGAAGTGTCGTCCTGGCAAGAAGTGGCCAGTGGTGTCCCTTGTGTCCGTGCTTGGTCCAGTGCTTTTCAACATCTTTATCAAAGATTTGGATGTGGGGTGAAGAGCTCACTGGCCAAGTTCATGGATAACAACAAGTTATGGGGGAGTGTGGTCACACTTGAAAATAGACTGCAGATACAGGCAGACCTAGACAGGCTGGCAAGTTGGGTGGATCAGAACCAGATGAAGTTCGGCATTGAAAAGTGTAAAGTGCTCCATCTGGGGATGAACAATCCCCAACTTACTTACAGTCTCAGTGGCACCAAACTGGCTAGTGCCATGACTGAAAGGGACCTATTACTTGAAAGGGGTAAGAATAGAGCATAGTATGAATATGAGCCATCAGTGTGATGCTGTAGCCAGCAGCGCAAATAATACTCTGGCATGCATCAACAGCACATCTCAAGCAAAACCAAGGAAGTGATTCTTTCACTTTACTCAGCATTGGTGAGACCGCAGCTGGAGTACTGCGTCCAGTTCTGGGTGGCACACTTCAACAAGGATGAGGAAAAGCTTGAGACAGTCCAGAGAAGAGTCACTTGTATGATCACAGACTTGCAAGGGAAGCCATACAAGGAAAGGCTGAGGGACTTGGGTCTCTTCAGTCTAAAAAAGAGAAAGCTGAGAAGGGACTTGGTAGCAGCTTACCACTATGTCAGGGGAATACACCAAGGGTTCAGAGAGCAACTGGTCACCAGGGCACCCTTGGAGAAAACCAGGAGTAATCGCCACAAACTCCTGGAAGACCATTTCAGGCTTAACACTAGGCAAAACTTCTTCACAGTCAGGGTGTCCAGACTGTGGAATAAGCTCCCTCCAGAGGTGATGCAATCACCTACCCTGGAGATCTCCAAGAGGAGACTGGACAGTCCCCTCACTGGGGTCACTTGACCCCAGTTGTCTTTCTTGCTTAGTGCAGGGGCACTGGACCTGATCATTTTGCAAGGTCCCTTCCGGCCCCTAACAATCTATGAATCTATGAAACCAACAGGGAATGCGTCACATCTCTTGGGAAATTGTGTCAACCATTTAGAATGTTTACATGTTATTTCCTCTTTGAAGTTTGCTGACATCAGTGTCGAGCATTGAGAGATACTGGAGACATTATATATAGGTAATCGTACACTGTGATCAAGTCACTTCTTAACTTTCACTTCAACAGGTGAAATAATAACGAAAAGGGCAGTCACTCAGACATCATAGGTGCATGATCCAAAAAACAAACAAAGTAGACCCCTCATCCAGGGATGGGTATGAAAGAGAAGAGGATCATGATATGAATTAAAGCACAGAAGAAAATCTTCACAGAGACCTTCTGCTTTAAAAGAGAAGAAATGACTGGCCTAGATCCATGAGGCATGCAATCCACAACCATGAGCCTTGCTGAGCAACACCTCAGCCTCTGCTGACCTAGCAAGTTCTCCACATTCCCTTTACATCCCTGCCCAGATGAGGAATGAGAGTCCTTGATGAAGTCCCAAAGCCCAAGTGTTCAGTATGGCAGAGCTAGTCACCCAGTGTAGATCACAATAGATAATACATTCCTAGTTTTCTTTGCTACAACTTGAGATGTGAGTGCATGTGAGGAGTGAGAGAGAGAGAGGCAGGTTCTCAAACTCCAGACTGTCTTTCACCTTTTAAAAAGAAAACCTCCAGGCTTTGTTCAGAGAAAAAAGTAGAAGCAGATGTTACAGCACAAGAAAACTGGGAGCCAAGAATATCAACTTTTGCTCACATCTGGAAATCTCAGGCACTCTGGTTTAAAAGATATGTCTCTGATATGTCTGCCAAGGCCCTAAGCACAGGTGGGATTCACAAGTTGCCCTGTTGCACCAATGTCAGAGCCACACCCTTCAGAGACAGAGACAGAGACAGAGTAGTCCTTGCTCCAGTACACATTTGTAGATTTAAAACCATTTCCTTGACTGAATAAGAAGACACCTGTTTTATGAGTTGTATTGGTCCTGCCTCCTGTGAAGCCAATAGGAAAACCTCTGTAGAGTTCAACTGGAGCAGTACCGAGCCCAAAATACTTTGGCATATGCTCAGTTACCAAGTTTCTCCCTTCATGCCGTGATGGACTTGGCTGAGAGCTTTGGTTTTCCCTGATAGTCTGTACTAGGGGTAGCTTCCATCTGCAGAGTTCAGAGTCTGGACATTGCAAAGTTCAATGTAGTTTTATGCACTTGGAGTCGTACTCTAATTCTGCAGAATCTGAGTCTTAATTTAAAAGATGGTCTCTTTTATATGCCTCGGAGTTGCTAAGGGTTGCTACATTCTGGGCGCATCTACATGTGTGTTTTAATGCAGCCGTTCTCAACTTTTTTGTACCAGGACCCATTTGTAAACATCAATGACCAGCCCCAACCCAGTGCCCCTCGCTCCCACCCTACTGCCTCCAGGCCCCAGCCCCACAGTGTGCAAGGCAGGAGGTGGGTGTGGGGGGCAAGGGGGCTCCAAGCAGCCCCTTGCAGCCTGGAACTCTGCCAGCCTGCAACGGAAAAGCCACAGTTTCCCGTGTTTTTCTTCTTTAAAGGAGAACCCATTTTTAAAGTTTGTTTGTGACCCTTTCACATATTCTTCCGACCAACTTTTGGGTCATGACCCACAGGTTGAGAAACAGTGTTTTAATGCACAGTAGCCTATTTTACCACGCATTGAAGCATCATGTCAAAAACCATGCTAATATGCTAATAC